TACTTGCCATAAACACTGTGGTTATTCCTATGTGTGATCCTCCTCACTTCTCTCTCCATACTCACCCTGGTAATCTCATTCCTTCCCAGAACTGTTAATCAATCAGCTCTAAGAAGGTAACTCTCAAATCCAAATCATTGTTTGTGACTTCTGTACATCTTTATAGACATCTCTACCTGGTTCTCTGCATCTAGTGGCATCTGAAGTACCAATACAAAATCAAACTCCTAACTGCCCCACTTGTGAATAACACTGTACTAGAAACTGTCAAGTTACCTTTGATTCCTTTTTTTTAAGCTACATTGACGCTCCCCTTGCAAAATCATGCGTCGGTCCTCTCTACTCCTAGTTCAAGCCTTTGTTATTACACTCTTGGGATAGAATATTGTAATAACCTTATAACTGGTGTTTCAACAAATGATGTCTGTCCTCCCCACTCCCTTTGAAAAGAATCCCTCAGGGGATATTCACTTTCATCTGAATAAAGCTCAAAAACTCCCTAGCCTGGTATTCATGGTCTCCTAGGATTGAAGATCTTCCAGTCTTGCTTAAAGAGAGTGCCTTGAAATAAGGAGTATACCTTATGTATCTCTGAATTCTAAAGGCTGTCACACTATTTGAAGTTTGCATGTCAAACAAATTGGGCTATTTGCTTTCATGGAATTGCCCACCTCCTTGCCTGTTCTCTTACTTATCCCTCTACCTAGTGTCCTGAAATTTTAAATACACACACACACACACACACACACACACACACACACTATTCCTACCAAACTATAATCTCTATAATGGGATAAATCTTATATTTTATCTATTTCATAATTTCATAGACCACATAGCACCTAATGGAATGCCTTGTACATAATAGGGGCTCAGTAAATTAAATGCTTGTTGAATGATTTATTATTTTCTAAGAGACCACTGGATACATAGAAACAGCAAGATACTACATTATGGTACAACAGTTCACAGAGTTTATGGCCTACATTGATTCTATTCAAAATTCTTTCTAAAATGTGAGGGATTCTGAATAGCAAGCAGGAAAGATTTAAAGGAAACTGTACTGGGCAATGGGGCTAGATTGGAGTCTGTTGCCCTTTGTACCCTTAAAACACATAGAGATACACATAGAGCATATAGTATGTGGTAATTTTAGTCAGTTTTTACAATTGAGGTGATTTATATTTATATCAGCTTTAGGGGTAGTTTATATTTTGAGTGCTTTGACTATCTGTGAATGGTTTGTTTGCTTTTGTTTTGTTTTGTTTTTTAGCACAATGTTTCTATTGTATTAAGTCCTAGTTTCATTTGGAGAGCTATATTACCTATTGCCTTGAATTCCTGACATTTTTTCAAATGTAAATAATAATCTAATTTAGTGTAGATATGGATTTGCTGATATATGTATTACATGGAAGCAGTATAAAGCATTTTTTAAAGGAGATAAGGAAGAATTTGTAGCCTCCCTACAAGCATGAGTCTTTTCTGTTTTCATAATTATTTCTTGTATACTAATTTTATCTTAGGAGTCATTTGCTGATATTTATGATTACAAAGGGGATATAAAAAGCAAATTAGAGCACTTTATAATTTTATCATCTTTTGGTTTCACAGTAATTGGATTAGAGAAATAGCTGCTGTGAATAAATTGAACCAGATGTAACGCCAAGGTCAAGGGTTTGGATCCCCTTACTTGCCAGCTGCCAAAAAAACAAACCAAAGCAATAACAACAAAAAAACATAAATTGAACCAGAATAGTTCGTAGTCATATTGCCACATGATTAAATGTGCCCATCAAAGCCAGGCCTGGCTCACAGGCTGTTTACTCAGTATCAGTTTTTAAACAAGATTGTTGGTTTTATGCTATTCTAGGTGTTTAACATTTTGAATATAATAATACTTGTGTCCGTTTTTTGTTTGTTTGCTTGTTAAATTAGAATCTTTGCCTCTGACTCACAGTCTGAAAGTAAGGAAGGCCTATCCCTTGCTTTCCTTACCCTGTATATCCTGTGATAGAGATGCTACCTACCCAAGGGTGAGAATGACTTAAAGAAAGTTTAGGGTGGGCAGGAAAAAGATAAAAAAACAAAGGACCTGGTAATTATGCTTTGAGGGAACCTGTGGAGGCTGATAGCATTAGGAGTAAGGGTGAAGGGAAGAGCTTAATATTTTAAGGCCCTACTGTCTGAGCTAGTTTTCGTATGGACACCTGCTTCGACTTTTAGTGGTATCCATAAAACAATTTGGATATTTGTCTTTGTCGCAACTTATGACTAAAACATTTGAACATTTTGTTTTTAAGGTGTGTTTAAGAAGTCTGATGGCTGGGTTGGCTTAGGCTGCTGTGAACTGGCTATTGCCTTGGAGTGCCGACAGGCATGCAAGCAGGTAACCCTGGGCAATCAGGCTCTTAAGCATCATGGAGTGCAGTTTGGGTTTTAGCTGTGTATGTGTCTTGGGCCTTGCTCACCTCATAGCTTTGGAGAGGTGATTCCCCAAAACTCCAGATTTGATATTTCTAGCATAGACCATTTCCTTTTAGACTTGCTTCTTTTTTAGTTATGGCCACTACATGTAAATCCTCAGCCTTCTCTTATTCTTTTTTGTCTTTCCTTCTCTCTGCTACACAAAGAAAGAAATTTAGGGTTTGCCTGGAAGTAAGCAGTTGACATAGCTGGCTTATTTTGTTTTCGTCTTCCCCTCTCTCTTTCATTATGGCTTTACCCTGAACATGTTCCTATATCCCTTCTCTGCTCTTAAGGTGAGTGTGACTCCTACAGTGAATTATGACTTCTCTTTGATTTGATACATCTCTGGTCCAGTTCAGGTTAAGCCCCTGAGTTCTTCCTCACTGCACGTATTTTCATAGTGGTTCCACAGAGTGGGAAAACTGACCTCCTGGCTCCTCCACTTCAAGTAGTGTGAAAAGACTTAACTGGGAAACTAGAAAAGGTTACTAGATGGACCTGAAACCATAGCTGGAAAGCCTTCTCTTATTTTCTTCTGGGGACTAGTCTCTGAGCAGGAGTGCATGAAACATGGTATCACCTTCACTTTCACACAGACCATTGTATTACTGCCTGAGCAATGCTCTTTGGGCAGCTCATGGCCTAGCTATCTGCAGCTCTTCTCCAGGCATTAAAGTGAAGCTAAGTTGAGAAGGATTTGAACTATAATGGGTCTAGTGGAACATAAAATAGTTGCTGGCCCTCTTCTTGCCCTCTCCTTCCTCATCAGCTGGCCTGATCTAAATTGCATGGGCCTAGGTGATAGAACAGGAGGAAACGGAATATAGGAGTAGAGCTTGTGGCTCTGGAACTGTATCTCTAAATGGAAGAATAACCACCCCTCAGCAGATTTGTTTTGGTTTGATTTATATAGAAAGTACAAACTTACATGTGCTAAATAACTTGCTATTTCTCTGAGCATCAGTTTCCTCAACAGAGGGGATAATATCTTCTTCATAAACTTGTTAAGATAATTACATAGAAATAACTTTTGTTAGTTGCCTGGCATAGTATCCTTTCCCTCTTTATTTGCCCCCTCCATTCCATGTGGCTCTTTTCTCAGGAAAATGACTCAATAAGTTCAGAATGAAAGCTTAGAATATGAAGGGTTAAAGAAAAAGCAAAATACAAATGCCCTGGCAGAGCTTCATAAGAAAATTTGCTAGAGTAGAATTAAGCTTTAAAAAAAAAAAAAAACTTCTGATTTACATTTTCTTCAAAGCCATCTAGTTTTTTTGTTTTTTTTTTCCTTTTTTGTCTTTTTTCATGACCGGCAACGGATCGCAACCCTCAGTGTCGTGCCCATACCGGACTGGGACCAGCAACGGGATCGCAACCCTCGGTGTTGCACCCGCACCTCGCTCAGCCAGTGAGCGGCCGGTCTGTATGTGGGATCCGAACCCTCGGCGGGAGTGCAGCTGCGCTCCCAAGCAGCGCACTGTAGCAGTGCGCCACCGGGCCAGCCCCAAAGCCATCTAGTTTTTGAAATAACAAAAGGGCCATGTCATTATGTGAGATTAAAGTTATAAAAGTTAGAGTGAAGTTCTAGAATATTGAGTAGGTCCTAGGGGTGACTAAACAAATTACATGAAATTCGTTTGTTGTATTTTAGGAACTTTTAAATAGTTGAATATAAGGTTTTCTTTTATGAAATAAAGAATACTGTACCAGCAATTAACATATACTAACTTGTGTTCTTTTTTGTTCTGTGCTGAATAACATGTATAACAAATTAATGGATTAAATTTGTTGGCTTTTAGGCATCTTCAAAGAACGATATTTCCAAAGTTTGCAGAAAAGAATATGAGGTACGCATTTTATTTAACAAATTTGGATGGACTATTCAGATGTTACCAGATTTAAAAAATCACTTAAATTTTAAAAATGAATTCATTTTTACACAGATTGCCTCTTACCTTACAAAAAATGTAGCCTTGACGAAAATGTCATTTATCTTCTTTCAAAATGTCATTACTTCAATAGATTTTTGTTGAAATTAGTATTAATTTTAAAGAAATGCCTACATCTCACATACAAAGTACTTAACTTACAATGTGTTCATAACAAAGCAACTGGTTGTACCCAAGGTTGTGAAGTAGTTTTTATTAGGTTGCTTATCCCCTTTTGCCCCTTTTCCTATCTCTTGACCCATCCAGGTGTCCATTTTTATAAACTACCTCTAATCAGGGAGAAAAATAATCAAACAAAATCACACTGCTAGTGTGAGTAGCTTCAAACTTTGCTAGTGTCTTATGTTTGGGGGGAAAAACCTAAGTTACAAAGCTGTATTAAGTCTGAAGAGCTCTTGTCTCCTAATGGTGGGATTTCAAGCACTGTGGTATCTAGATGGGGGAGATATTAGGGAAGGAGTAGAGAAGGTATTTTATACCATGCAAACATGTACAGAAGATTGTCCTTGATATGGGAAAGCTCCTCACTGGGGCCACTTTATTTGGTTTCTAGAACTCCGTTGTTAAATGTGACAGTATGATTGTTTTTCATGTGTAAGGCCATGTAATTAAGGATACTTAAGTGCATATGCCTCATTCATCATTTATATCTAAACATTGGGATTCCTATTGCTTTTAATAGTCTGTGTTCTCTTGAAGAAGAAAAATAGAATAACTCTGTGTTGTCTGCTTCTAGATTACAGTTCTGATTTTTTTCTTTTTTTAATGCCTATATCTCTTGACTAACATTTTTAAACTTATTTATCTTTTGTCACTTTGTGCTGTTAGCTAAGTTATATCTGTTCCTCTGAAGACAAATTTCCAGATTAACTGCTGCTCTCCTCTGTTCTTATTGAAAGGAGCCTTGCTCTAGAGAAGCAAAAGATCTTTTTTATTTGTTTCTTATCTCTCTACCTTTAAAATGACCAGTTTTAGTTTCTCTTGAACAAAGTGGCTAACTGTAATAATTCCTTCTTTTCTCCCACATGATGTCTGACACTGTCTATCTCCTGTAGCCTGTCCTCCATTATCTTAGTGTGCTTCCTTCTCTTGTCTGGATTTCTGCATTGCCCTAGGAAGTCTGCCAGTATGTGTTGATGAAGGACGGGACAGGAAAGGTAAGAGAGACAAACACTGTCCTATGATAGAAATACTAAGAATAGTTTACTTTTCCCATTCTATTCTCCCTTATTTGGCCTAGAATTAGCAATCATTTTCCAAAAACCTACATGCCAAAAGGATTCTTTTTTATATATTGAAAGCCGATTCCATGAATTAGTCAAGATAATTCAGACTCAGTTTGATTTCTTATATGTTATTTAGGAATAAAAAAAGAGGCTACAAAACCTACAAATGTGTTCTGTATCATAAACCTCAAATTACAGTCACTGTCATGATTGTTGACGTCTAGTCTAGACGAATTAGTCAAGATAATTCAGACTCAGTTTGATTTCTTATATGTTATTTAGGAATAAAAAAAGAGGCTACAAAACCTACAAAGGTGTTCTGTATCATAAACCTCAAATTACAGTCACTGTCATGATTGTTGACGTCTAGTCTAGAGATAATGGTTATTTGTTATAAAATGAATTTGGGTAAATTTAGTGCAATTTTAAGCCTGTTTTTACTGGACTGGTTGTTTATCAACATCAGAATAATTTACAAAACTAGGCTTTTAATATCTTTTCCTTAACAATGGAGTAGTCTCTGGGCTGAACTTCTAGAGGTGTAAGCCATTTCTTTAGACTTACAGTTTTAGAGGTAGCATTTACCCTGAAGGATGGTTTTGTGTAGTTTGATTAGAGATTCAGAGAGTGGGTAAAAATTACATTTGGAGGAGCCAAATTTAATTGGTAAGCTGCTGAAGAGTTCCTTTTGAGGGGATTTCCTAAGAAGTTTACTTAAGTGAATAAAAATTTTGATACCATTTAAGATTCTGGTTGGTTCCAACCAACCTAAGATACAAGTTAACCAGTTAAATGTAAAGCATTGTCACATCTGTTCCTTTAGAGTCTGGTTTCTTTCTTATGCAAATCAATACATATTTATTGAATACTGAGGCGTTTTATATATTAGAGCACAAACCTTGGAGTCAGACTTAGGTTAGAGTTCTGGTTAAGCTACTTTTAGCTTAACTTCACATACTAAAGAATTATGTCTAATTGAGTCAAGCTAATTAAAATATATACTGCACACACAGCGCTCAGGGAAATCAGAAAGCAGAGCAAGCATGTTGGAAGTTATCAGGGAAAACTTTGCAAAAGAGAGAGGCCTGAACAGATTGGTATGATTTGGGTAATAAGACTTTGGATCAAAGTTATGTTAGCAAAAATATACATGGCCTTTGCAGTGGACAAAGGGAAGATAGGCCTCTTTTGGGTTGAGAATCTGTGCTTGGATAGGCAAAGTGGGACCAGATCCTAGAAAGATGACATTTTGGGGCTCAACCCATTATTTAGTAGAAGGTGATGATGAAGGTTCTGAAAAAGAAGACCAATATAGCAAATAACAAAGCTAATTTTTCAGAATGCTGAAACTCTTAGTTGTGTGCAGGCTGAGTTTTGGATCTCCCAACCCTCTCTAGTGTAGCTAAAAAGAGATAAGGCCCAGAACTAGGATGATAGCAATAAAGTGCAGTATTCAGGGGTAAATCAGAGACTTGAAAGCAGAATCCATCAACAGGAATTTGTTAGGATGGATTGAATGTAGGAGATGATGTTCAGGGAGATAGAAGAAACAATTGTTTTAAGCCTAGTTTCCTTACATTTGCTATTCTCCTATGCTTAGAGGTACTATTTAGAACTACTCTTTCTGGCAATAGGACAGACTTGGTACCTGTACTAGTCCTCTGGATGAAAACAATTAAAAATGCTGGATTACTTCTCTGCAAAGAAAATATGGAATGCTTGGGCCAAAATCTAGATGAAGACAGGAATCTAGAGAAGTAAAGAGCACTAAAAAAGGCAGTAGCCTTGAGGGATTTGCTGAATCAATTCTCATAGCTTTGTAGCTTGAGGGGACTCAGAAGTCAGGAGATAAATTCCTGGTTCTGATTGAAGGTAAAAAATATAATTGAAGTTCCTTCCCCTTCCCATCAATAAATTTTGGATCTCAAAGGTACTACACACACCCACAGTATAAGAGTGATTGAGAAATATGCTCATCTCTTCCCCTTCCAGGGGACTGCAAGGAAAATTGCTTCTCTTAAACTATAATGTTGTCTCAATTGAAAATTCATAGCTATAAGCTGGCCTTCACTTGAGTTTGTAGCCCAAATTCATACTGAGTGTTTATAAAACCTCAAGCTGAGAATTTATTTAAAGTGGTTCTGAAATGGTAGTGGCCCCCAAGTACCTGAGAAAAGCTAACAGAGATCCTCTCTGGAGGAACTGATCTTTATTCTAGGCCTCTTAGTATTTTCACAGATAAAGTTCTAAGGAAAATCAGCAGTTCACAGAAAAGAAATCACAAATTTCACCAGAAAGCAAGGTTTATCAAACGAGTCAGCAGGAACAGTGGTGAACAGAATCAGACATGAAGATACTTCAGATATAGAAATTATCAGATGCAGACTATAAAATGTTTAATATGTTTAAGAAATAAAATAGTCCTGAAAATATGAATAGCAAGATACTTGAAAAAGAACTAAAGAGAATTTCCAGAAAAGTATATATTTGAACTAAAAACACAGTGGATAGGTGTTATTGCCCATTAGATACATTAAAGAAAGTGAATTAGAAGACAGAACTGAAGAAATTAGGGGCCGGCCCATGGCTCACTTGGGAGAGTGTGGTGCTGATAACACCAAGGCTGTGGGTTCGGATCCCTATATAGGGATGGCCGGTTAGCTCACTTGGGAGAGTGTGGTGCTGACAACACTAAGTGAAGAGTTAAGATCCCCTTACTGGTCATCTTAAAAAAACAAACAAGGGGCCGGCCCGGTGGCGCACTGCTACAGTGCGCCGCTTGGGAAGCGCGGCAGCGCTCCCGCCGAGGGTTCGGATCCCACATACAGACCGGCCGCTCACCGGCTGAGCGAGGTGTGGGAGCAACACTGAGGGTTGCGATCCCGTTGCCGGTCCCGGTCCGGTACGGGCGCGACACTGAGGGTTGCGATCCGTTGCCGGTCACGAAAAAAGACAAAAAGGAAAAAAAAAAAAAACCTGAAGAAATTATATGGAAAAGCAGCACAGAGAGACATGAGGCCATAAGATAGTTTGAGACATGAAGGATAAAGTAAGAAAGTCTTCTAATTGGATTACTACACGAAAAAGAAATAGTATGGGTAGAGGCATTGTTTAAAGAAGTCCAACAAATCCCCAGCAGGATTTAAAAACAAAACAAAACAAAAACCTACACATTAATAGAAACACCTCATAGCCAAAGATCTTAAAAGCAGTCAGAAAAAACAACCAAAAAAATCATTGCCTTCAAAGGAGACCAACAGCTGACTTCCCAGTAGCAACAGAGGAAGCCAAAAGATAGTGGAATGGTACCTAAACTGTTATAAAAGAAAATAGCGGGGCCGGCCCAGTGGCGCACTGGATAGTGCGCCGCTTAGGAGGCGCGGCAGTGCTGCCGCCCGAGGGTTCGGATCCCACATACAGACCGGCCGCTCACTGGCTGAGCGCCAGTAGCAACAGAGGAAGCCAAAAGATAGTGGAATGGTACCTAAACTGTTATAAAAGAAAATAGCTATCAACCTAGAATTCTATATCCAGCAAAAGTATTTTTTCAGAAAGAAGGCAAAATTAAGATATCTCCAGACAATAAAAACAGAATTGCCATTACTAGACCCTTCTTAGAAGTCTTTTTCTAAAGGAAGTTCTCAAAGATCTACTTCAGACAAAATTATTTGA